GTTCACATCGAGACCTTCACCTCTTTACATTCCCGTCAAGATATCCACCTCGAGGTCTTCACTCCGAGGTTTCCGCCTCGGGATTTCCACCTACCTCGAAATGTTTTCCTCGTGGCAACTGTGTTCCAGTTGGGACGATCTGGTGAAGCGAGGTCCCCGTAGGGCATCTAAGGCCCTCCCCGCGCGCCTGGGCGACAGTGGCGTGGGATCTGATGGCCCCACCTGCCGGCCAAGCACGGCTCCCCCCAGGAAGGTCGTGTCACGACCAAAGTCCATTACCAGAGCGGTAGTGCTCGGGCATGCAGGTGGCCACATCCAGCTAGCTCCAGCTGGCACCCCACCTGTTTTTCTTTGGGGGGGCCGTTTCGGCGACCGCTTGAAGGCCCCAGTGCGTCGCGAGCACGGCGGCCCTCGACATGGTCGGATTTTGCCACTTTGACACGCTCGGCAAGGCCCTCCTGAGAGAGGTTAACACCAGCTGACTGTCGGCGCCGCCATTCTGGTCCCAGAGGAAACGTCGGAGGTTTTGACCTCCAGGACACAGCCCGGCGGCGATGCCGGCGGCCCAACACACCTATGTTAAGAAGCGCGCGCCTCCTGGACACGGCACGGCGACAATGCCGGCGCTGTTCTTGTCAATCGACACGTCGGTAGCTTTGCTCTCTCGGACACAGCCCAGCGGCAATGCCGGCGGCCCTTCGCATGGTCATCTCCTTGCGCGAGGCATGTGCCTCCGGGACATGGCGCAGTCAGAATTCTGGCGGAGCTTTCTTCACGTCGGAGGTTTTGCCCTCCAGGACGCAGCCCGGCGGCAATGCCGGCAGTCCTGCACTTCCCCTTCCGAGGCGCGCGCTCCGAGGTCACAGACCAGCGATGTTGCCGGCCACTGCTTCCATGCACGTCGGAAATTCTGTCCTCCCGGGCGCGGCCCGGGGGCAACGCGGGTACTCCTAAATACCTCTTTACGATGCACGCGTCTCCAGGACACGGCCCGGCGCTGCGCGGCGCGCAGGCGTGGTTGCATCAGGCTCACGCCGCGGGCTAGGAAAAGGAGACCCCTAGACGGCAGGCCGATATGGCGATGCCACCCTCCCGTGCTGCGCGGGCCTCGCGGCCCGCGCTTGCACGCGCCGCGTCAGCCTCAACCTCCAAAGCCTCTCCTCTCTTCTCCTCCCTGCCCTCGGCCCCGGAGGATTCGGGGGATGCTCGCGCGTTTCGTGCGCCCGACGCGCTGGTGCACGGAGAGAGCAGTGGAATGCTGGTGTGTTCACCGTGGTTGGCGGCTGTGTGGCGCATTGCACCTGGCGGGCAAGGGCGCCAGAGAGGTGCCCCATGAAGATGACCGCGCCCAGGAGCGAGGAGGATGAGGATGAGCGCCCAACCTCATCCTTATTCCCCCCCCGGCTCAACGCTGATACTTAGGCCGGTGGCTCGTATTCTGGGCCACCTTTGGCAGGGCGCACTCGGGGGAGCCCTCGGTGGAACATTCATTCGGTCCGACATTCCGGCGGGGGCCTGGCCCCCGCCCAGGGGGGCTCTTGCGCGCGCATGCGACCGTCGAGCGGCATCTTTCATTCGAGCCAACTACCTCGATGGGCACCCAAAGGTCGCGCAACATGGAGCTCGCATTGGTGGTCGGAACATGGGCGCACCCACCTCGCGATCCCGCGTAGAAGGCAGTCGCGAGTTCGCGGTGTCCGCCTCGAGGTCCTCATTCGGGGGTTATCCCTCTAAGTGCTTCACCGCGAAGCCGCCAATTTCCGAGAACTGTGTTGTTCCGACACAACTTGCCAACAAAACCAGCGCCCCTGCGCGCTACTACTTTCCTGGGTCGGTCGCGAGGCAGCTGCCTCAAGGACAGAGCTAGGCGGCAAAGCCAGTGGTCCTGCAATCGCTACCTTCTGGCATTAGGCTGGCGGGAAGACTGGGGCGCGCGCGCCCACTGGTTGCCCGCTCGTGCCATCGTCGCGCGGCAGCTCCTTCAATGACAAAGCTTGGCGGCAGAGACATCGCGGTCCTGCAAGTTCTCGCGCTCTCGGGCTGATCGCCATCTTCCAGCTGTGGTCCCGCGGGGAAGCTGGGGCGCGCGCGTCCGCCAGTTGCCCATTCGTGCCGACGTCGCGAGGCATTTGCCTTAAGGGCATGGCTTGACGGCAGAGCCAGCGGCCCTGCAAGATCTCGCCCTCTTGGGTTGAAGGCTACTTTCTGGGCGCAGACTGGCGGGGGGGCCGGGGCGCGCGCGTCCACCAGTTGCCCATTCATACCACCGTCGCGAGGCAGTTGCCTCAAGACCAAAGCAAGGCGGCAAAGCATGCGGTTCTGCAGGCTTTCATCTCCCCGCGCTGACCACTGCTCGTTGGCCGCGTCCAGGCGGGAAAAGCCTGGGTGCAATCAAACGCAGGTGCTCAATGACGGGGTTTCGCGCATCCACAGACCCCGCGCGATTGATTGCCTCGTCGCGAGGCAATTGCCTCCAGGGCGCACCCAGCGGCAAGGCTGGTAGTCCTGCGCATTTTCGCGCATCCCGTCACTTCCCTCTCCCCCCTCCCTCTTCCGCCGCTACCTCCTGGCGGCAAGGCCGGTTTGAGTGAATTTGTAGAAGAGTCGGCAAATACCTCAGTCGCGAGGCAGTTGCCTCCAGGACGCAACCGGCGGCAAGGCCGGTAGTCCTGCGCGCCCATGCGCGCCCCCTCATCACGTCTCCCCCCTCCATCTTCCGCCACCCCCTGGCGGCAAGACCGGGCCGCGTGCATCCCCAGATCTTGCGCGCTGGCCCTTGTCGCGAGGCTGTTGCCTCACTCTCGCGCGCGCCCCTCCCCCCCCTTCCCACATTTTCCCCAGCGAGTTAATAAAGTTGCACAGCTCCTGCTTGAACACGTTGCCAAGGCCCGACCGACGTCCGACGCCCCCTGGCGGCAAGACCGGGCCGCGTGCATCGTCAAATTCTGCGAGCACGCCGCTGTCGCGAGGCATTCGCCTCAAGGGCGCACCCGGCGGCAAGGCCGGTAGTCCTGCGCGCTTGATCGCTTCCGCCCATCCATCCACTCCCCCCCCATCCTCCGCCGCTCCCTGGCGGCCAGGGCAGGTTTCGCGCATCCACATATCCTGCGCGCTGGCCCTTGTCGCGAGGCAAGTGCATCAAAGACGCGCCTGGCGGAAAGGCAGGTAAGCCTGCGCGCTCTTACGCGCTTCCCCCTTCCCCCCCCCTCCCCATTCCGCCGCTCCCTGGCGGCGAGACCAGACTGCGTGTATCCTTAGATGTTGCGCGATTGCCCCCGTCGCGAGGCCGTTGCCTCAAGGGCGCGCCCGGCGACAGCTGGTAGTCCTGCGCGCACATGCGCCTCACCTCATCTCCATATCCCGCCAGCCCCTGGCGTCCCAGCCTTCTCCCTTCCTCTCTGTTTCCTCCTCTTTCGTCCTTTCCCACCACCCTGCTACACCTCCACCTGCCGCTGTTCCCTGGCGGCAAATGCCCTGGGCCCTTCCTCGGGGGCTTACTCCGAGCCAAAACCCAGGGGCACGCGTCGAGCCTAATCCCAGGCACCTGTTCAGGGGGTTCGATCCGAGCAGGCGCCCTAATAAAAGTCTGAGCTCAAGTTCCACCCCACTGTTCTCTAAACGTGGCCCTCGCAGTAGAAGCATAACTGGGCAGACTCGGGTCCAGTAATAGTTTTGTCGACCCTGCTGCCCAGCACCTCGAGACCCTGCCGCAATTCTCAGTGTCTACGGCGCGGCATCATCGGGGAACCTCATTTCATCTATCCTTCGCGCACAGGCGCGAAATTGCCAGTTATTGACTCGCCTCTGTCTGCTCTCGTTACGGTCACTGCTCCATCCGTAGCCTGAGCCCCCCGCTCGAAGGAGGGGGGCAACTTTGTTAACATCTCTGTCTCCCTCACGTCCCCAGGAATGGGCGTCTGAGCTGGCCAGGGCATGGCCTGAGCCCCCCGCCCGAAGGAGGGGGGCACTGACCTATCTAAAAATAGTTTAGAATAGGTCCACACCCGAGCAACTAATAGCGGATGGGCTGGCACGCCCTTCCAAGCCGAGTGCGGCCTCTGGCACCATTTTGGCTCTAGCCATTGGTGCTGGATTTGCTCGACCTTTTGCCCGCTCCCACCCTTGCAGAATCAGGGAAGCTATAAGGGGAGCGCCGAGGTGGTCACCTCGGTAAGGGCAGACGGTTGCCTGTGGGAGGGGCCCTCGCGGCGGCGGGAGATCTGCATCTGCTGGGGGGCTCGTCGCATTCCCCAGGCCGATCCCCGACATCAGCAGCTACGCTGCAGAAAAGGAGTAACAGGGTTACGCCTACCCTTAAGGGCATCTGCGCTACACTACAGTCCTCCTCCTCCTCCTCCTCCTCCTCCTCTTCCTCCTCCTCCTCCTCCTCCTCCTCCTCCTCCTCCTCCCCCGACCAAGACACCCGATGGCTTGCCTTTTCAGCACGGGGCACCCGCACTCTCGACCCCCCCCCGGGGCCAGCCCCGCACCTTCGGTCGATCCCTGGAGGCCCTGGAGCCTGGCGAGGGCAACAAGGGGCCAACATCAGTTAAGGGGCCCAAGGACACAGAAATAAATATACACACGCAAATTCCAGGATCCCCTATGTTTTCGCAAATGTTCTGGGTTTCTGTCTTCCCCCCCACTTCCCATCTGTTCGCATATCTTCTTGCGAATTGACGATTAATTGTGTCTGTGCTTTTCCCTCCTGAATCAGCTTTGGACCAACTTTGTACGGCACCCATCTCGGTGCGACGTAAGACTCGGGTACGGGTGACTCGGATTGGCCTGACGGAGCCGTCATGAAAACGACGAGACCCAATCTGAAATTTGACGAAAACTGGACCGTCGAAATCCGAGACGCGCTCGTCAAAAAACGTCAGCAAGCCCGGGTTCCGGCTTGCTAGAGTCTTACGTTTCCCCGACCTTCAATGCTGGGTCGCTCCTCCCTCCTCAGCCTCCTCCTCCTTCCATCTCCTGCGCTCGTGGCCCGGAGCTGCCTGTTCTCGGACTCGACCTCGCCAACCTGGGGGTGCGGGCGGGCTTGTATGTTTCGTGTGTGAGCCTGGCCCAGATACCTCGGGGGCGGCCAAAAGAGGGGTGTCCAAGAGGGCGGGGCGCAAATCATGGCCAGCGGCGAGTGCGCGGCCCAAAGGGGGGCCAAAGACGGAATCGAATAAGAAGAGGCGCCATGAAATCTGAGGAAATATCATGGCCCACGGCCCACTCCATGATATCACCCCCTCCCTAGTCATCGCCTCCCTCTTGGCCGCCCTCGAAAACATCGGCATGCTCGGTGTCTCCTGGCTGGTGTGTGAAAAGCGTGCTTCAAACTGCTGCTGCGGAGTGCCAGCCAGAAAAAAACATGACTGAAGAATGAGAGGCCTCCTAGATGAGGTCAGAGTAGATGGGGTCGGAGGATCGCGCCGCATCGCCAGCACAACTGCGATGCATCGACGATGCATCGGCGATGCACCAGCGATGCATCGTCGACGTCAGCGATGCATCGGCGACGTCGACGTGGAGTAAATCTTGGTGCAGGACGAGCCGCATCGGCGATGCATCGGCGATGCGGCGCGAGCCTCCGACCCCGTCTACTCCGACTCCATCTAAGAGGTCTAGACGGTCTAGACTCCTGGCTGTGTGCGGAAGCGTGCTTGAAACCAAACTGCCAGCAAGAGAAAGTCTGACTCGGCGGCGGGCCCGGGGGGAAAGTGAGAAGGAGCAGGCCTTCTCAGAAGGCTCGGAAGTTCCCAGGTCTACCGAGCAGTCTACCGACACAGGAAGCTGTGCAAAGGCGCGAGGGCTTCTGAGAACCCCCGCCGTCTTCTGAGAAGGCCGTCTCCTTTTCACTTCCACCCCTCGCTCGCCGCCGACTGACTGAAGCATTCGGGGGCGGCCAAGAGGGTGGCTTCCAAGAGGGGGGGGCGCAAATCATGGCCGGCGGCGAGTGCGCGGCCCTTTGAAACAAGAAGAGGCGCCATGAAACCTGGGGAGATATCATGGCCCACGCCATGCTATCCCCCCCCCTAGGCATCACCCCGCTCTTGGTGGCCGCCCCCGAAGCATTCGACTAGGGCATCGACTACAGAATTGATGTACCCCAAAATAAAGATGTCAGTCGAATCCACGAGAAATGCGAAGATGGTTCCTTACATACGCAAGCAATCTACGCATTCTTGGTGAAGTCGGCGAGAAAATCAATTCTCGGCGGTGGACAAACCTCCCTTTAGTATACCTCCTCATCGTGAAAAAGGCCTGGGACCGAAACCGACGGACCTGGGCCCGCAAAAATGACGGCCGCGACGCCCTCTCGGGAACCGAAAACGGCCAATTCCTTAATCGACGTGTCAGGGTAGGAGGTCTGTCCACCCCCGGAATTCTGGGGCGACTCAACTCTGTAGTCGATCGATTCCTTACGGCAGGTTCGTGTCGTGTCGACCCCAGCGATGGTTTCTGACACCGCGGGGGATCGTTCAACCTTGAACGATCGGCCGCTGCCGCAACGTCCGATCCTTCAACATCGATCGATTCTGGGTCGCCGGCGGCGTTCAACCTTGAACGCCCGCGCTGGGGTCGCCGCTGGTCGACACGACGCAAACCTACCGTACTCGAAGCATGGGGGCGCGAGTGGCCGGCGCCGACGGCCACGCACGGCACCTTGGGGCCCGGGAGGCGCCCCCCAGGCAACCGGGCGCGCCACTGCGCGGGCGCGCCCTCGGAGCGGGTCGGCCGGCGGTTCCGGGGAGGTCTCCGGGAGAGAGGCGAAGGGCCACAAGCCCGAGCCATGGGACGCACGGAGGCACACGAGTAATATATCTCTTTTTATATATATATATACACATATATATATATATATATATATATATATATATTATACACACATGAGGGGGACATATAAAAACTCGGAGGTCTGCGCGGACTTCTTGGGGCGGCGCTGGGGCCCCCTGGCCGCGCCTCCGGCGCCGCCCCTGGCGCGCTTCGCGACCCAGAGAGGGGGGTCCAGCGCAGATCCGAGAAATCCGCGCGGACCTCCGAATTTTCATGTTCATGTCATTCTTCGCTCCCCTATACACGTCCTCCCTGGAGACGCGCGTCCGACCCAAACATATAGTATACCCACTTTTGCAGCACATCGTCTCCCGAGCGGTGGGGCCAGAAAGCGCCCACCACGACGCATATACTATCAGATTTCTCGGCACGCTCGTCGCCCCAAGGGTGGCGACGCACACATAGTTTTGGTATGTTGGGGTGACGCCGATGAGATCGGATCAGGCGGGAGGAAGCCCTGTATAAGACCCGATGGGCTGGATCAGTGAAGGGCGCCCAGGATCGGGGAGACGTAAGACCCGGGTACGGGGGATTCGGAAATCCCCGACGAGGTCGTCAAAAAAATGACGAGGCCGAGCCTGCATTTTGTCGAGGCCTCCCGCTGCAGACATCCCACGAAACTCCTCCTCGTCAAAATCCCAATCGCGGTCGTCAAAAAACGATGGCGAACCAGAGTCCTGGCAAACCCGGGTCTTACGCTCCCCCGACAGGATACACACATAAAAACACAGACATTGCTGATTGCAGCAGGGGCTCCTTTTTTCCACAACACAACATGGGTGGTAGCTTGGCGCCGCAGCGGGGACGCGCGTCCACTGCAGGCGCGGGTAACGGGGCGGCGTTTTCTGGCGCCGCGAAGCGTGCTGGGAACAACATGCCACTGAAGGTCTGGAGCCTGCCCTGTGCGGGGCCGCGACTAGGGGCTGACCCCTACCGGCGCAGTGGCGGCGGTAGCACCGGGTCGTCTCGCACCCAACCGTTTTGGATGGCTGTGCAGAAACGTTTCCGAAGGAGGCCATCAACTATGTTGCACTCAGAATGCACGCGGTCGAACCACGGTCGCACGCGGTAGAACGGGACGTCCCCGAGACAACGCACTCGAGCACACCATCGTTTGGCGCTGCAGCGAACCGCTGGCGCGACGCACTCTTTTTTGTCGATCTGCCTGTTGGCGTCCGTGCCTTCGTGTAGGGCCCAGTCCGAAAGTACCTCCCTGGGAAGGTCCATCTGGAACCACGCGGGCATGCGCCGTCGCTCATAACGATCACGAAAGGCGTGCCTGGCCCAGGCGGCACCACCCGGAAGGGGCCCAGAGGCAGGACGCCAAGCCAGAACTTGATGGCAACCAGAATGCTGTCGTTCAGCTTGTCGTTGCCGTGCCTGCTGTACTGGCGCCACTTCAAAAGCCCGAGATGCACGCGGCCGAACCTGCCGAAGCGTTGCCCCGAAGCGAACGCCAACTTGCCGTGTAGCTCTGCTGCGAGCCCGCTGCTTAAACGCCCAAGTGTCCCGGACGCTCGAAAGCACAGAGCAGATCGCATCGATGCGGGCCAGCAGGGCCCGTATCTCACGCGGTGACGCGGACAGGTCACTCCAAGTGCCCAGCAACTTGAACTGGTCTGCGGGCAACGGGGATTTTGGACCGCCCGGCACTGCAAGTTTGGGGCCAATCATCTGATAGAACAACTCCAAGAATGCCCACGCCTGAGCCACGCTGTAGTCGGGTTCTACGCAGTGGTGGTCGTTTTGGTAATGCTGAACAGGTACCAAGAGAGGTGATGCTGTAAGAGGGCGCGCATGGACATGGGCAGCCGCGCGCACGTCTGGACGCGCGCGGCCGCGCCAAACGGGCTACCCCGCAGGCGGCCTAACCGCGTGCGATGCGCGCGGGTGCACCAGAAAGCAACGACCAGGTTGAGTCCGACCAACATTTGCCTGAAGTGCTTCCACAGGTCGGCAACAACAGCACCTCCCAAAGCCTGGCGACAGATACGTGGTGGTCCACGCCGGCGGGGCGGTACGTCTCGTAGCTGCCGAACGTGGCGTTGATGATGTTTTCAGAACAGACGTCGATGTTCCGAACATCGCTGTCTTGCCACCGGGGCTTGCGACAGACGAGGACCTTGTCGCTGCCTGGGCAGGCCTCAAAAGTGTCGAAAGGGCCTTCCATGAGGTTGGGTGCGAACTCCTCGTAGGTATTCTTGCAGACCAGCTCGTCCAGCGCGGAATCACCGGTAGGGCCGCGCCGCCCGACGAGCGCTGCGTTGCGCGCTGGGACTTGCTGCCAAAATTCCTCGACAGACATGGCTGGGGAAGCCCGCGACGGGCAATGCAACGACTGTCATTTGCAAAACCCACAACGGGCATGCCAGCGAGCAAATCATCTGGCAATTGCGCATCTTGGTATCCAGCTTCCCGCAATATCCGGCGGAGCTGCGGGGAATTCCAGCGCCCGTGCAGCAGCGCGCGGGGAATTCAGCGCCCGTTTGCGCAAGAGCGCGGAGTACAGCCCCCATCGGAGTTGCACGACACCGCCCCGCAGCCCAGCCGCGCGCTGAACGCGCTGGACCAGCCTGGCAAACAACGGGCACGGTTGCGCCAGAGGGCGCGCCACCTGCATAAGAGCGAACTCCATGAATCCTGCCGGCGGCAAGCCAGGAACCAACCGGCCTGCGGCGTGCCCTAGAGGCTGTCTGCCTGCGTAGCCCGCTAGACCTGCCACGCACACCGCCTGGGCGGGACGCGGAAAGCCAAGCGCAGGCACGCACGACACGCTGCTGCCGTTCCGGCGCACAGCTGGGGAGGGACCACCTGGCGGCACGGCCCTCCAGGAAGGGCCAAACAGGTTAAAATCATTGATTTCCCATGGGTTGTTCAAGGATTGTGGCATTCGTTTTGTTTCTGCCTTCCGACGGCCCGAGACGGCCCAAGTGCACCCAAAGATCGCCCAAGAGGCCCACGGCGGCCCCCAGAGGCCCCCAAGACGGCCCAAGAGGCCTCCAAGACGCTCAAGATGGCCTCCAAGACGGCCCAAGAGCCCTCCGAGACGTCCTCCCAGAAGGCCCGAAAGGGTCAAAACAGCCTCCAAGCGGCCAAGATGACTTTCAAGATGCCCACGTGTTCCCCGAATGCTTTCCAAACCGATTCGGGGAACATATGGTCCGATAGCTTGGCAGGTCTGGCCTCAACGTTCGGCCACATAGGCGGCCCCAAAGAGGCAGGGGGCGGCGGTGATTCGCCGTAGGCGTCTTAGATCCGCCGCCCCCTGTCGATTCATCGCAAGGGGGCCTGGCGTGCTAAATTATTCCGGTTTTGGTTTTTGTTCTTTTTCCAAAATGCTCCCCCTGGGGCTTCGGCCCGTCCCGCCGGGGTGCCGGGAGGATTGCCCAGGACCTCAATCCCGGAACAAATCCTCCAAGATGGCCCAAGATGGGCCTCCAAGATGGCCACGTTGGCCCAAGATGGCCTCCAAGATGGCCTGCAAGTCCGCCCAAGATGGTCCAAGGCGGCCCCCAAGATGGGCCAAGAGAGTCTGGCGGTGGCGAGGCCAAAAAAGGCGAAAATAAGGTGAAGGTACTGGTATCGGTACCAAAGAAAGAAAACAATACATACACATAACCTTTTGGGCTCCGTGCGGATTTCTTGGATCTGCGCCAGAACCCCCTCCCTGGCGCGCGGACCGCGCCAGGAGCGGCGCCAGTGGCGCCGCCGCCGGGGAGCCCCAGCGCGGAGCCCCACCTCAACCAACTCCGCCCCCTCTCCTGCTGCTGCCCCCGATCTCTCTCCTGCTCCTGATGGGCCTGTCTTCCACCACCACCACCATACGCTGGATGGGGGGAAGGAGGAGGAGGACGAGGAGGAGGAGGACGAAGAGGAGGAGGAGGAGGAGGACGAAGAGGAGGAGGAGGAGGACGAAGAGGAGGAGGAGGACCCCCTCCCTATAACTCATGGTGGTGGTGGTGGGAAACAAGCCCCATCAGCTCTTTCCTCTGTGGCGCCTGCTCTTTTCTCCTTCCCGCAGCGCGTCCGCCAGGGCACCCGCCACCTTCCGCACGCCCGGGGCCCCGGCGTGGCGGCGCGCCGCCGCCTCGGCGGCCTCGAGCCCGCCGTGGGCCGCGATGCTGGGCAGCGCGGCCGCACTGGCCACGCCGAGGGCCGGGAGTGCGTTCTCCAGACCCAGCCCTCCAAAGAGTTTGAGTGGAGGGGGCCAGGGACAAGCAGATTAAACCGACACGAATCCCAGGACTCCCAATCTCGCTCCATATTTTCTGGGTTGTCGCCTTCCCCCCCACCCCCTCCCTTCCCATATGTTCCCATATGTTTTTCCCCTGAATCGACGAATATTTGTGTCTGTGTTGTTTTCCTCCTGATTTATGTATTCGACCATGGGCCCCCGAGATTCGCGAGGACGACTATCACTGTGGGCGCCACCCCGAAAGGGCCCAGGGACACACAAATCGATACACTCAAATCCCAGGACTTCCAGTGTTTCCATATGTTCTGAATGTTTGTCTTCCCCCCACTTCTCTAACCCAGACCACCAAAGTACAGTCGGCCCGTACCATAAGAAGCTTCTTGGATGGCGGGGGGGGCCCTCTATGAATGACGGGCAACGTTAGAGTCAACCCGTATAGTAAGGACGCGCGATGAGGATGCAAGGGCCTTGGACAACCATTTCGAAGCTTCTCGAGCGGGGGGCGGCCAACGAAAGTGGCCAGGGATGAACCGAGGAGGCGGGGATGCGAGGGTACCTTTGGGAAGGTCGCCCATCCTTAGTATGCGGGTCGACTCTGTTTTACGTGTTCGACCAAGAGCCCCCAAGATTCGCGAGGACCACCATCACCGTGGGCGCCACCCTGCCCCCTGGTGGCGCCACGAGTTGCGCCAACGCCGATTGGTAACGACTACAATCGGGGCGTTGACCTAAGGAACCCGAACATAAAAGAACGAGGCCCCTTTCTTCATGAGGGAAATTCCGATTTCCCATCGAAAACCTAAGGACACCTGCGTAACAAAGCCCATCCCAAACGAAAAGAGTTCCTTCTTCAGCGCCCCGACTGTACAAGGCACCCAATTCCCAAAAACGGCGCCGGCGCGAAATGGTGACGTTACGGCCCCCCTTCGGGTAACGGCCGCTAGGATAGGGGAGAGCATCCAGACTCGCCGGCCCAACTACTCCGAGTTTCTTAATCAGCGTCGGGGGGGCGTCACCACCGCCGACAGCCCCACATCGTTCTCCGTCGCGGGCAGCCACCGCGCGCCGAAGGCGCTCCGACCCCCGTCGCGGTGCGACGACGAGGCGAGGTTGACCCCCGTCGGGGGGTACTCCTACACGCTTATTGAGAAACCGAGAATAGCCAGAGGCGTGCTAAGATCTCCGGTGACTGGTTGAGAGATTTCCAGGTCGCGCGCGCGGGGCCGCACCAGGGTCCCTGGCCGAGAAAAGTACCGCGGCAAGGTCCTATCAATGATGGTTTGGCTCCAGGGGGTCGCCCTCGGGGCCCCCGTAAAGCTCCAAGAAGGGCAAAAGAGGGCCCCGAGAGGGCCCCAAGATGGTCCAAGAGGCGTGCGGGACACCACAAGATCGCTCCAAGACGCCCAAGATGGCCCCCAGACGACCCAAGAGCCCTCCAAGAGCATTCACTAGAGGGCCCAGAAAGGCAAAAATCATCGATTTCCCGATTCTGGCATTTTCGCCTTTGCGGCTTCCGGACTCTCGAAGACTGCCCAAGAGGCCCCGCTTGACGGCCTTGGAGGGCCCCAAGAATGCCCCACAAGAGGCTCAGGAGGGGGGACACGAAACGACATTTCAAGCCCTCGGCCTTCCAAAGTCCCCAGGAAGCCCCAAGCGACCCGCAAGAGGCCCTCGAGAGGCCCCCAGGAAGCCCTCAAGAGGCTCCCAAGGAGCTCTCCAAAGCTATCCGCAGAGTCTCAAAAACCCAAGGGCCACGAGCTTTTCTGTTCTGGCCGACCGGACCCCGCCTTCCGCCTTGGGTCGGTGGCAGAATGGGCCCAAGGCAATTAGATAAGCCTCCAAAAAGGTCTCTTGTCGTCCAGAAGCAACCGAGAGCGCTCCGAAGAGACCCCATGAAGCATTCCTGAGGACTCTGACCAACAACCTAGCCATGTCGATGAGCAGTAGAGGCCAGAACCCCCACGACAAGCTCCAAAGCAACTCCTTCACCTCCATGCCTGCTGTCGCCACGCCTCCGGAAACAAAAACAAAAAAAACCGACAAGCCTCGCCGCATGGACCACGAACGCGCTGGCAAGCGCCAGCGATGGTACAATACGGGCCAGCGGAATGAGCAAAGCGATTCAATAAGTTTCAGACGAAGTGGAACAACAGGACGGATGTTGTTTCGCCCGAGCGCGCCAGGGGCGTCGCAGGGCGTCGCCAGGACCCCAGCACAGAACCAAGAGATCCGCGCGGAACTCCGAGCATTCACGGCAAGATAAAGAACTGCGTCTTCGATCGATTGCAGGGCCCCCCTCGGAGCCTCCAGGGCTGTCTTTTGGGGCGATCTCTAGGAGGCCTCCGAAGCCGTCTTCAGCCGATCATGGCCCGAAACGGCGAGAATATATAGAGGAAGCACAAACGGCATAAGCATAAACGTTTCGCGGTCCGCGCGGATTTCTTGGATCTGAGTTGGACACCCTCCCGGCGCGCGGAGCGCGCCAGGGACGGCGCCTTGGGAGGCGCCGCCAGGGAGGGCCCGCCTCGGATCCAAAACATCCGCGCGGAGCGCATTTTTTTTTTTTTTTTTTTTTTTTTTTTTTTTGCGATTTTTCTTCTTCGCGAGAGGCCTCACAACTCGACGAAAAACCTAAAAAGCTTTGAACGCCCTGGGGGGTCTGCATCTCTGCGGCGAGCATGCGGGCCCTGGAAGTCTGGGCGAGGCAGTTCGAAGGCCGATCCGGGACGAACTCTCGCGACGGCCGGGAGGATGGCCGAGATGCGGGGCCAGGAGGGTGGCCGAGCCGGTGACCTGCCAGAATTGAACAGGGACCGACCGTCCCGGCATTCCTCTAGGTCTACAACAAGAGTGTTCTCAAACCCCCCAAAAATGTTCTGAGAACGAAAACAACAACGTTCTTGGCACATGTGTCCGATGTGCTAAAACAAAACACCCTCAGCCAGAACTGTTCTGAGAACATTTCGCGCAGACCCCAAAAAGTTCGTAGCAAAAATTCTGTGGTGGGCCTATAGGCGAGCCAAGACGCTTCGCCACTGCTTGACAGAAGGTGCGCGACCGTCCCAGACCCCCCAGGTGCGTACAGACGACACTTCAATGCTCGTCTGCCTTCCTGGCCTTAGGTCCTGCCTTCCTGGCCTTGAGTCGGGCATGTCCCCCTACAGGCGCAATTTGGGCGAAATCTAAAAAATGCTCTAACAAAAACTTCAGAAGAGTCAAAAGAAGCCTCCAAAAATTGCCCCCAGACTATTTTTGGACTATTTTTGAATATTCCTCCTGTGTACAGGGACATTGCCGACTTAACCCTGGCCCTCCGGGGCGGCCAGTCGACCGCGGCGCTTGCCCGGTGGCGGGCGCTCTCGGCGAGGTTCAGCAGCGCCCAGCAGCAGTAGTCCTGCACGTCCGCCGCGCCTTAGTGTGAAGGGGCCCAGGGACACACAAAGAAATACACGCAAGCCCCAAGATTTTCAATGTTTTCTGGGTTTTCGTCTTCCCCTCCACTTCCAATATTTTCCCATATTTTCCTGGGGGTCGATGATTCATTGTGTCTGTGTGTCTTTCCCCCTCCTGATGGTGGGCCCCGGAAACGGCAGGGCAGATTTCCCACCGTTTATTATGAAAACAGATCTCTGGAACATGGAAGCGGCCAACAACAACGGCGACTGGGAACGGCTCCAGGATCGGAGCCAAAGCCGGAACAGGGAAATAAACGGCGACGGAACCGGTAGAAGAACGGCGTCGGAACCGGCGGGCAACAAGAACGGCCACACGGAACCGGTGAGAGACCGGCCCTGTCGTTTCCAGGGCCCGCTGAAGGCCGCGCCCTCGTGCGCCACCAGCCCGCGCAGGATCGTCGCGGCGGCGCTGGTGGGAACCCGCGCGCGCCCAGCGGCCTCCTGCGGGAGGCAAGAGGAGGACTGATTGACCAGCAAGGGGCCCCTAATCCTTGAGGAGGGGATCCAAGCTAGGAGGGCCCAAGGCATTAGGGAAAGGGGGGCTCCCTCTCCGCGGATGTGTCGGACCAGACTGCCCAGGATCGTGTTCCCTCATGCAAAGACGGGGGCCTCAGGGAGGCCACGTCCTCACTGCGTTATTTGGGGCCGTTGGTTTTTTTTTAATCCTCGGTGACAGAAGGGACGTGCCAGTACCGCGTCTCCTCCCTGGAGGCGTGCGCCCGAGCGGATCGTGTAGTACAGCCTTCCCTGCGGCGTGTCGCCACCCCAGGAGGTGCTGCCGAGAAGTGCCCGCCACCGCGACGGTGCTCCGATCTCACAGCGCACGCATGGAGGGGGCCCTGGGGCACACAAGTAGATAGACTCAAATAACAGGGTTCCACACATTTTCCAATACTTTCTGGGTTTTCGCCTTCCCTCCCACTTCCCACATCTTCCCATCTTTTCTTGGGGGTCGGCGATCAATTGTGTCTGTGTGTTTCTGTTCCTCCTGAACTCACTCACTCACTCACTCACTCACTCACTCACTCACTCACTCACTCACTCACTCCCGCGAAAGTGCACCATCCAGGGTGCTGCGGGTGCGGCACCGGGGCGCGGGAATACTACGCAGGTTTCGCAGCCCGCTCATGTCTTGTGCTTGGCGTGTGCAACATACCCAGGCCCGAGCTGGCAACCTGCCAGAAGGTGCGGCGACGCACACACGCAGTAGAAATTACAGCAAAAGTATGTTCGGGTGACGCCGATCCTGCGCCAAGCTCGCCAACACCGCGCACCCCTTGAACAGCACGAGCGACGAGCCCGCATGCCTCTCGAGGCTCTCCAGGACCGCCTTCCAGAGAGGGGGGGGGCAACGATGTGCCAACACACCGCTGTTGTACTCCCCTGGCCTCCCTGCCAGAGAGCGTTCTGCCCAGAAATCCGAAACCAAGTCCAGCCGTGGCGACGAGGGCATCCTCTCCCAGGGTGCGTTCTTGCCAGAATGACGAGGCGAATCCAGCTGTGGTGACGAGGGCCTCCTCTCCTGGGGTGCGTTATGACCAGAATGTCGAGGCGAACCCAGCTGTGGCGACGAGGCCAGGGCAACGGTGTCCGCGCTGCCTTTTCTCCTCTGACTATGTTGCATCTTTGGGTGACCTCATCTGTCCCGTCGGTTCGACCATCCGTGCCGCATCCGTGTCGGCTCCATGTCGTCGAACGCGTCGAAACCGCGTCGACTCCGTGTCGGATCCGTGTCGAGCCCACGTCAATCCAGCGCGGACCCCACGTCGGAGCACAAGACAAGACTGCCACTTACATCCAACGGCAGAACTTATACACACCCAGAAGCCCTTGGTGGTGGGCGAAGGTCCTGGTCGTGGGTTGTTTACAACATTCCCTCACTTGGGCTCGGCTGTGGACAACGAAACGTGGCCCCAGGCGGTCGAGTCCGTCTGGGGAGGGGAGGGTGTGCCGTGCAGAACATCGGGAAAAACAAGACAGGAAATGCCCCCTGAAGCTGCAGCGTGCAGGGCTCGACCCAGAGAGGGTGTTCTGTTCGTGTTCGTGCTGTGTTTTCGTTTTCCCCCGTTTTGTCCTCGTTCCGCCTTCGCTGCAAAATGAAGCCAGAACGACAACGGTCCACGAAATCGCCACAAAACACCGTCGAAGCTTAGGTCGAGCATGTCCCCCTGCAGGCGGATTTTGGATGAAATATCAAAAACAGACTCCAAACTTACGCCGAAATAGTTTTTTTCCTAAGTGGAGAATCGCCCACATGCAGATAGATACTTATGTGTGTATAAGTATATATGCTCAGCCCCCCCCCCCCCCCAGCACCCCGTCCCGCGATAATTCCGATGATCCTCCTCCTCGTCCTCCTCCCGCATCCGTTTACGCGCCTGCGCGGTGCTCGAGATTCGCCGTCGTTCGGGAGCAGTGCTGGTCCTGCCAGGGGGGTCGCGCAGAGTCCGCTGCCCTCGAAGTTGGGTCGCGCAGAGTGCGCTGCCACTTCTATGATGTGAGGCTTGAGTAACGTATTTGGACTCTCCGCGCATTGCTCATTGCTCATTGCTCATTGCTCCTCCTCCTCCTCCTCCTGCTCCTCCAACCCATCCTTCTCACTCTCTTTTTCCTGGTCCTGCACATCATCATCATCATCATCATCATCATCATCTTCCTTCTCTTACTCCTACCCCTCATCATCCGCCCTCCTCCTTTTACTTGTCCGCCTCCTGATCATCATCATCCTATTCTTCCTCATCGTCATCATCATTGTCACCATCCTCATCATCATTATTATCCTCATCATCCTCTTCTTCCTCCGCGCCCTCATATTCCTCATATTCCTCATCAGCCGCATCATATTCTTCATCCTCCTCCTCCTCCTCCTCTTCCTCATCCTCCTCATCCTCATCTTCTTATTTACCCTATTCATTCTCACCCTCATCGTCCTCATCATCCTGCTCGTCCTCCTCCTCCTACTCCTCTTCATCCTCTTCTTTCTCATCCTCCTCCTACCACTCACCCTCCTCCCTCCTCAGTTTCCTCGTCCGCCTCCTCATCCTCATATTCCTCTCCCTCCTCCGCCTCAGCCTAACTGGGTGCAACCATCCGTAGTTTGTTATGAATCGAGTGGTTGTTTGTTGTTTGCTACTTCTCTCCCCAGCGCTGCCGCCACAGCACGCCATGCCAGCTGCATCAGCGAAGGCCGTGAAGACTAAAACCGACAGGTGTCGCGATCGCAAGCGCGCCAAGTCCTTGAAGAACTGGATCGCCAAGCCGTGGGTCAAGCAGTACCTGAGGGAGGCTGCGCAGAGACACCTGCGGAAGTATCAAAAGACGTGCGCAGCTTTGCGGGGCGAGAAGGCCGCCCTCGCTCAACAGGTCAAGCGCCAGCGCAAGGACCTTTTCAACATGCGTCGCGATGTCTTCGTGGCCCAGGTGTCGGGGTGGACTTAAAACACTTCCTTGGCCCTTAGGCGCATAGCCACAGCAACGTAACAGGCGAACAACGACGTTGTACCGCCCAACGCACCACGTCACCAACGGACGACAACCGTAATCCATTAGCAACGCGCACTAGCGCAACCACACACACACCACCAAACAACAGCAACACCACCAACAACAATACAATGCACAACAGAACCCCCGCCCAGCGCGCAGCCGAGAACAACCAGCGCGCAGCCGAGAACAACCAGGAGGCTTTCCAGAAGGCCAAGAGCAAGCACGACAAGCTGGAGCACCTGGTCGAGGAAACGGCGCGCCCCCTCATGAGCAGCTACATCATGGCCGAGGCGGGCAAGATCTTGATGCGGTTCCTCAGGCACAAGAAGCGCCGCGACCAGGAGGAGTACGACAGGCTCCTCGCCTTTGAGAAGAAGGAGGTGCTCCAGCTCATGGCCGAGTCGCGCGCAGCAGCGGGCGCGGGCGACGGTGGCGGGGACGGCGCCGATGGCGCCGCCGCCGCGAGCAGCGCCCCAGCCGGTGCCGCGGCGCCGCGGGAGGCAGGCGTGGCGGGCGGCGTGGAGACCGCGCCCAACGACGGCGGGATGTCCGACCGCGGCGGCGGCGGCGCCGACGCGCGGGCCGTCTCCGCGGGCGAGGAGGACGTGTTCGGCTTCGGCGGCGGCATGGGGGAGCCCGAGCCGACGCCCCCCAGACAGCTGACGGCCGCGCGGGACGTCCGCGTGAAGGAGATCATCAACGCCGAGGCCGACGCGCTCATGATGGTGCCGTGGCAGGCGGGTGCTGCTCCTGGATCGAGCGGCGACGGGGGGGCGCCGAGTGGCGCGGCTGCGCCCGCGGACCCCGCGCCCGCCAAGCAGCCCCCGATCGTCGGCTGCCACGGTGCGCTCTCGGATGAGGACCATCGGGAGCAGGTGGCGATCTTTCGCAGCCTAGCCGAGGCCCACCACGGCGCGCACGAGAACCTGGTAACTCCGCCGCGGAAGACCAGGAAGACGGGTCTGGCCTGCGGCGGGCCGCTCTCCCCCGTGGACATCCAGGAGCAGCAGGCGATTTTCGCATCCATTGTGGCGCAGGCACACGGCGAGACCCTCGTGGTGGACGACGATGGCGTCGACTTGGATGCCGAAATGGAGACGCTCCTCGATGACATCGAGGCGGAGCGCGTTGGCGGCGCGAGCCAGCTTCCGGGTGACCAGACGGACTGATCCAGCGGTAGCTGGCCTGGCAAGTGACGCGGGAACGCACGGGCGAAAGGTGCGCGGCGACGCATGTTGTTTATGACGGCTGGAGCGAGCTGATATGAATGCATTGATGTATATGCTTGTTCGCCTTCCAGATGTAGATGCCTTCCGCGTTGCGATATGTTGGGCGAGTGACATAGGAATGCCCATGCGAAATGTGCGCGGATACGCATATTGTTTACGACGGTTGTGAACTGTGCGAAACAGCATCATCCTCAGCGGTCTCTGTGGGCGATCGCACGTGTAGTCTTCAACCTGCCGTCTTCCACTGCCACCACTCGGTCGATTCGAACCCTGTCGTTCTTGGCTCAAGTGTGAGAAAGCCACCGAGCCCGCCCGCCAGCCCCGTCGGCAGCCAGGCGGCCGCCACCCCGCGCGCGTCGCCCATGGGTAAGCCATGGCCAGTCGCCAAGCGCGGAAAGGCTCGCATGGCCATGCGGCCCGTGCCCATGAAGAAGGTGAAGAAGAGCTCACTCCTGCGCAAACCGAAGAACGTCCCATACACGCGCCACGGGTCTTCCTCGGTCAGGTCGCGCCTCGACAGGGCAGCATGGGCTCGGTGCTTGAAGGACTTCGTGAACGCGACGACCAAGCAGGTGATCGACCGCTTGAAGAAGGACAAGGTCTTGCCTGAGTGGAAGGGCGCGAAGTGCCCCTACTGCCAGATCGGCAAGCTGGGTCCCTTGAAGGACCATGGCAAGAAGAAGGGCGGGTGGACCCACAAATGCTCGAGCGACTGCTGCCGACGCTTCCTCATGCCGCACGCCTTCCACCCTATCTTCAAATGCGGCACGGGGTCGTCGGGGGGGCGCTTGGCGGACCAGGCCGCCGTGCTGTTCTGCGCCGTGGCCCAGTGCTCGCAGACGTCCGCCCGCCTCTTGTTGAAGAACAACCACAAGATGACAGAGGGCATTTACTCTGCGCTGTATGCAGCCCGCGCCAAGTACGTCAACTCCCACGAGAGGAACATCTCCCTTGGCCATGACCAGGACGGCAACGCGCTCGAGTGGGCGGACGTGGAGGCGGACGAGGTCGACGTGGCGAAGGGCGAGGACCCGAACGCTGGCCCCCGCGCGCAGAAGCCCATCATCTGGGAGCAGTGGGGCGGCATCGTGCAGCGGGGGCACCCCAGGTCCTTGGTCCTCTTCAGGTTGAAGCCAGAGAAGGCCAAGCGTAGAGCGCCTGGCCCTGGCCCGATTCGGAAGAGGGATTGGGCGCCCATGGCGTCCAAGTGGCTAAAGCACCGCCGCGTCATCCTCCACACGGACGGGGCGAGGTCCTACAAGATGAAAGTCGATGGCGTCTTGCACGACTGGGTCGTGCACAAGAAGAAAAGTGCGCGGGTTGGCGGGAAGTGGGTGTGGCTGAAGCCGGCATTCACGAAGATCCGCTACCACGACGTCCCTGACCAGAGCAAGCCCAGCGGGACGAAGCGCTTGTGGGTGAAGTGCGGCACCCAGGTGATCGACCGCGCGTGGGGCGACCTGCGCAAGGCGGTCGGCAAGGGCATTGCGAAGACGGTGGGGTCTGTCCTTCTCCGCAACAAGGCAGGCCAGATGAACGACGTGCAACGCGTTTGTTTGCGTAGGCGCTGTCTCTTCAATCTTCAGTGCAGCTGAACGCCGCCCAGGGGGGTGGGGGGTGTTGCCCGGCGCGGGAAAGGTTGGCGGGTGGCATGCGCTGAGGTTTGGAGAGGCGGCCCAGCGCGACATGCGCAGTTGCTGCTCGCTCTCTGGCCTATGCAAGGTGCGCTCCTTCCAGTGGACGTACTGGAACCGCGGCAGCGATCTCTGGTTCGCCACTGGCCAGATGCTCCGCGACGCGTGGGCCAAGGACCACGCTCAGTGAGCTCTCTCGCTGACGCAGCCGAGCCCGCTTGGAGATCGGCGCGCAGGAGCAGCCAGGTGGCCAGGCGGAGTGATCTAGTGGCGACAGGCTTGGCGTTCGGAGTGAGAGTGGCCAGGCGTACGGCGCGCGTTTGCGCTTGTTGTCTATTTCGCTTGGGCCGAGTTAGTTCTTGAGACCAGAGGTGTGTTCACATTGCCCCTCTTCATATAGATGCCACCCGCGTTGCGATATGTCGGGCGAATGATGTGGCAATGCCCAGGCGAAATGTGCGCGGATCCGCATATTGTTTGCGATCGTAGTGAAGTGAGCTGAACATCATCATCTTCAGCTGCGCGCGGGCGCTATCGCGCGCTTCGCCAGCGCGCACTTGCGCGCAGGAAGAGGAAGAACAGACGGAGGAGGAGTGAGAGGAGGAGGAGAAGGAGGAGGAGGAGGAGGAGGAGGAGAAGGAGGAGAAGGAATTCTATTGGAAAGCCTCACAAAAGGAATCCTTTGGAAAGCATCACAGAGGGATTCCATTGGAAAGCCTCACAAAAGGAATCCTTCGGAAAGCATCACAAGGGAATTCTATTGGAAAGCCTCACAAAAGGAATCCTTTGGAAAGCGCCACAAAGGGATTCTATTGGAAAGCCGCACAAAGAAATTCTATTGCAAAGCACCACTGCCCACCAAACCATGCTATTCACAGGTTTTTTTGTTTTTTTTGGTCAGGGAAGCCACGAAACCTTGCTATTCACATGTTTTTTTGGTTTTTTGGGTTTTCAGAAGCTCCACAAGCTTGGCCAGAAGGGGTCCGCGGGGGCTTGCGGAGCCTCTGAAAACCAAAAAACAAAAAAAACAAAAAAAACAAAAAAAAAAAACTGTGCATAGCAGCGTTTGGTGGCTTCCTAGACCGAAAAAAACAAAAAAAACATGTGAATAGCAGCGTTTGGTGGGATCGTGGCCACCAAACGCTGCTATTCACAGGTTTGTTTGGTTTTCAGCCGTCCATAAGACCTCCTGGCCTAGTTTGTGGAGCTTCTGAAAACCAAAAAAACCAAAACAAATATGTGAATAGCAAGGTTTCGTGGCTTCCCTGACCAAAAAAAACAAAAAAAACATGTGAATAGCATGGCTTCCTCCTCATCCTAATCCTCAACCTCCTGGTCCTCCTACTCCTCCTCCTCATCCTCTTCCTCTTCGTTTTCATATTTGGAGGAGGAAAGGAGTAGGATGAGGAGGAGGAGGAGGAGGAGGAGGAGGAGGAGCAACGGAAAGAGAGCGATGGGTGCACACGGGGTGCTGGGGGGGGGGGGCTGACCGTATATATATATATATATATATACTAGAACCATCGCGCGCGCTTCGCGCGCGCTCAAGTTCTAGCCAGGATCCTCACCATCGTCATCATCGCAATCATCACCATCGTAGTCATCGTCATGGTCGTGTTCACCATTACCATCACCAGCACAACCATCATCATCACCACCATCATCGTCAGCATCGTCAGCACCATCGTCATCATCGTCGTCGTCATCGTTGTCCTCACTATCATGGTCGTCGTCATCATCATCAGCATCATCATCGTCAGCATCAGCATCAGCATCATCAAAGTGTCCGAAATCGCATGGGGCTCGTTTCGGTGCCTGCTCGGGGGCTCTTGGGGGCCTCCCGGGGGGCTCTTGGGGGCCTTTGGGAGCCTCTAGTGGTTTCTGGGGATGCTCTTGGGGCCGAGGGCCCGTAAAGTGCGCTCGGATCCCGCGTCTGGGCCCCTTCTTGGAGCCGTGTTGGGACTCTCTTGGGCCGTCTTCGAGGCCTCTTAAGCGGTCCCGGGGCGCTCTTGGGCCGTCTTGGGGCCGTCTTGGTGGCCTCTTGGGCCGTCTTGGGGCGATCTTGGGTGCCTCTTGGCCGTCTTGGAGCGCCAGGGAGGCCAAAAGGAGAGAAAGCCAAAAACATCGAAAAACACAATGGAAAATCAACGATTCGAGCCTCTTGGGGCCCTCTTGGAGAGCCTCTTGGAGGCCTCTTGGGGCGTCTTGGAGGCCCCTTGGGCCGTCTTGGGACCATCTTGGGCGTCTTGGAGCGATCTGGGACCGCCTCGGGGCCCTCTTGGACCATCCTGGGGGCCTCCTGGGGCCGTCTTGGAGGCCTCTTGGGTCGTCTGGAGGCTCCTTGGAGGCTCCTTGGAGGCCCCGGGGAGGGGGTATTAAAAAGCGTTCCCCGATGGTTGCGGAGTGGGCGGCCCCGCCGGGGGGGGGGGGCCTATTTGTTTATATTATATATATATATATATATATATATACTAGAACCACGCGCGCGCTTCGCGCGCGCTTAGGTTCTGTCGAGTCACAGACCCAGGAATCCTCCTCCTCCTCCTCCTCCTCCTCCTCCTCCTCCTCCTCGTCTTCCTCCTCATCCTCGTCCTCTCCCGAGCGATACAATAACAACTTGCGTGGAACCCCTCTCGGGCCCATCTTGGGGCTCTCGCGGGCCGCCTTTGGAGCCTTTTGCGGCGTCCTGGGTCTCTCGTGGGGGCTTCTTGGAGCTCTCTTGGCGCCTCCTGGAGCCTCTTGGGGCCGAAAGCTTGGAATTCTACAGTGGCTTTCTCCCTCTGGGACCCCTCTCGGGCACGCCTTGGGGCTCTCTTAGGCCATTTTGGAGTCCAATTTTGCCGTCCTGGGCGCCTCGTGAACCGTCTCGGAACTCTCTTGGGGGCCACCTAGGCCGTCTTGGGAGCCTCTTCGGACGTGTTGGACGCGGTGAAAACCCAACAGGCGACCATGCGAAAAGTATACGTTTTCCCATAGGAATGGGACCATTTTTGCTTCTTGGACCTCTCTTGGGGTGCCTCTCGGAACGTCTTGGGCTGATTTTGGAAGCCTTTTGGCGCCTCTGGGCGGCGTTTTGGCGCCTCCTGGGATGTGTTGGGCCGGAAGCTCGGAATTCGAGAGTGGCTTTCTCCTTCTGGGACCCCTCTCGAAGTCGTCTTGGGGTTCTCTTGGGCCGTCTTGGGGCCGTCCTGAGCCACTCGTGCGCAGCCTTGGAGCGCTCCCGGAGGCCTCCTAGGCCGTCTTGGAGGCCTCTTGGGCCGTCTTGGACGCGGTGAAAGCCCAAGATGCGAACATGCGAAACATATA